GGGATTAGATGGATTTACTATGATGCTTTTTCACTTTCTCCCCCTTTATTGATGTATTCTCATGTCTTGTATGTATCAATTTCATCAATAAAGTTGTTTCTTTTAGCTAATCCCAAAAAAAAAAAAAAAAAGCTGCACTATTCAGTCAATGATTTTGTGAGTAACATGTGGCAAATTAGAGTGTGCATTGGTTGCGGCTTCTTCTAGGCTCTAATGTTGGCTCTGTTTCAGATTGGAGCCACCTTGCCGCATGAGTTTTGTATAGTTGGATTGAAGGCATTGGCCCAGGAGTTGTTGGTGTTGTCATCTTTGTGTTGTGTTTGGGTGTTTCTTGGGTGCCTATGGGGCCTTTTTTTTTTTTTTTCTTTTTCTTTTTTTTTTTTTTTGGGTTGGTCTCTTGCCAACTATCGGTGTTTCTGTAGCACATAATTGGACTTGCTCCTTGATGCCAACTTAATTCAAATCATTTTGTCTTGTAATGATACTTTTTGTACTAGTCTCTTCTCTTTCTTTTTTGATGTATTATCTTCTTATTCAATGATTTATATCAATAAAGTCTTCTTTTAAAAAAAAAAAAAAAAAAAACCACCACCACCGAAGAGTTAGAAGAAAAAATTTAAAAATAATATTTTTTTTAGTTTCAACAAGTATACGTCAAACAATTTTTTTAGTTTAACACATAAGATTTTATCAAATAATTTTTTAGTTTAAAAAACTCAAAATTCAGTTTTCAATATTTAATTTGTAATTTTTAATTTTAGTAATGAAGTCAATTTGATAATCAGTATTATTATTACTTCAAATTTTAAGTGTAAAAATTAGAATAAAATTTAATTTAATCGACAATTATTTTCTAGCGGCAGAATTAATTTGGGGTCCACTTGTTTTAAACATACATGTCCTTTTTGATCGACAATCACGTTGCGAGATTAATTTGAGTTCCATTTGTTTTAAATACACATGACTTAAAAAAAGTTTGATGAAGTTTAATTCGATTGACAATCATTTTTTCACGGCAGAATTAATTTCAGTTCCAATTGTTTTAAATATAAATGTCCTTTTTCATCAGCAATCATGTTGTGGCGGCACGATCAATTTGAGCTGCATTTGTTATAAATACACGGGAGTCCTAAAAATTAGGATATATTTTAATTCGGTCAACAATCATTTTCTGGTGGTGGTATTAATTTGGGTTCTATTCATTTAAAATAAATATGTCCATTTTAACAGTTATTTTTTAGCGGTGCAATACTTCACTCATAACTACATTTTTATTTTATTTTTTTTGTAATTTGATCACTCAAGGTTTGGATTTTACAATGGGCAATTATAATTTTTATTTTTTTTATTTTTAGTTTGCGAACACTGGTGGCTAGTGTTTAATTAAAATCTGAGAAACAAAAATGTTAGAGATCTCATAAATTTTATTATAATTTATACCTGATATCTTACATTGGTGTGGGACCTACATGGACCCACATGATGTGGGACCCACACCCATATGAGATATTTGATAGAAATTTTGATAAAACTTTTGAAACCTCTAATATTACTCTTTGAGAAAAATTAATCCAAGATCTTGCATCCCTTTCACCTTGTCTCCCTGTAAGAGAAGTTATCACAATTTCCCATTCCAAAACATAAGAAATAAATGTTAAATTTTGAAATTTTGAAAATTTAAGCCAAATGTTAGCTCTTGAGTGATATATTTTAGACTCGCCAAGAATGAGCCAGCTTGGCAAGTTATTGAAGTAGGTATTAGAGTAATGTTAAATGCCTTATTAAATGTTATTTATAGAGATGATATTCATATTTTTCTTGCATGTTGAATGCATATAGTGTAATCTAGAATATAAAAAATGTTAGAGATTTTAAAAATTCTATCAAAAGGTTTATTAAATGTCTCGCATGGGTGTGGGACCCACATTGCGTGGGTCCCACACCTATATGAGATATTTGGTAAAAACTTCTGTTGAATTTTTAAGATCTCTAGCATTACACCTAGAATATATATACTTATAATATGATAATAGAATTAGACACAACCTTTTTCGTATGAACTAAAACCTACATTTTTGTGAATCCCACACCGATATAACAAGGTTGTGTCTAATTTTGTTAATGATTTTTTGTAAGTAGAGGAAGTGTTTATAGAGATTATACTTGTACTTATTTTGGATTTTGGAAGTATATAATCTAGAAAAGATTATTGTAATTTGCAATAAATGTGGCCAGGAGGATAACAATCCGTGGAAAAATCTATGGCAAATTACACTAGCAGTCCCTGTAGCTTGGGACTTGTGTCACTTTAGTCATTGGCTTTTCAATTGCGACACGTTTGCCCATAAATTTTGAATCTTGTTTCAAATAAGGATAATTGAAGATAGCATTACTCAATTTTAAGGACAAAGTCGTTAATTTGATAAAATATAAATTAATTTGACAAAAATAAATGTCAAAAAAATATTTTTGAATTTTTAAAAATTATTTCTACCCATCAAAGATAAAATTATGTAAAATTGATAAATCTTTTACGCATTTTTTTTACCAAATTAATTTTTATTATGTGTTTGGATGTTGATCATGTAATGGATGGTTTTTTTAAGGTAAATTACACTTTGCACTCCTATACTTCACACCAAATCTCACTTTGGCCCCTACATTTGAAATCATGATAGTCAGCCCCCTACACTTTTGGTCAAATTACACTTTAGTCCATGCACATGAAATTGTGATAGTCAACTCCTTGTATTTTTGGTAAAATCTCAATTTAATCCCTACACAAGTGGCAGTGTCTCTTTTTTGTTACTTAATTGTTTAAATCTTTAACAGAATCTAATTATTTTTAAAAGAATGTAACTACGACATGAGGATAAGAAAGAAAAATTATCTATATTTTCTATCAATACACACTTTATTCCAAAATTTACATCAAAATATCACTATATTAAGCTAAAACAAAACAAAGATTGTGAACAATTGAGAAGATGAATTAGGATTTTGTATAAATTGGAATCACGAAACTCTATTTTTCACGGTAACACTGTCTTTTGTCTATTCATTTTTCTTTCTTTTTGATTTCTTTGTCGCATTATCATCAAATTAGTTTTTATTTTTTCAAAACTCAAATATGACGACAACTTTGATATTATTATTAAACCAATCCATTAAATCAAAAAATCCAAAACTAAAAACATTTCATATATTAAATATTTTAATTACACATTAAAAGCCTAACAAGTACACATTACATGATCATCATCCAAACATATAATAAAATTAATTTGGTAAAATAAATAAATAAATATATGTGTAAAAAATTTATCAATTTTACGTAATTTTATTTTTTGTGAGTAGAAATAATTTTTAAAAATTAAAAAATATTTTTTTGACATTTATTTTTGTCAAATTAATTTATATTTTATCAAATTGACGACTTTGCATTTGAAATTGAGCAATGATATCTTCAATTTTCCTTATTTGGAACAAGATTTAAAATTCAGTGTAAAATATGTCACAATTAAAAAATCAGGGATCAAAGTAATATAAGTCCCAAACTATAGGGACCGTTAATGTAATTCGCCCAAAAATCTATTTATCAAAGTAAATTTGATTAAATTAATGGCTAAAAGCCCTGATAGAAATCATTTTTTTTTATCTTATTTTAGAATTTCACATTGAAATAATATAAAATGAAAGATGAATTAGGTGTAAATATGATTATGAAAATTAAAGAAAAAAAAAAAAAAAGAAGAAGAAGAAGAAAGAAAACTGCTATATAAAATAGGGTAGCACATTGTTTCAAGTCATGAATTAGGCCAAGTTTGGGTAGATTAAATAAGTGCACTTTTTGTCTTTTTAGACTAAAAAGTTGAGGTTGAAAATATGAATGTTTGGGTTAACTTTTTGACTTTTTATGGAAAAATGTGTAATAAAAATTTGTAAAAATTGATTTGTAGGAGAAAATTAGAATTGGGAGTTGTGCAGCCGTAATTGTTGACTTTTGGTGAATAGTGATAACTTTTTAACTTTTTGAGTAACTTTTTGACTTTTTGGCTTTTTGGGGTGTTCCCAAACTTGGCCTTAATCAATGAATTATAGTCGTAATCTCTCCTAGAGAAGTTTCTCCCAAAAGAAAGAAAAAACATAGCCCAAATGAAATGATAACATCTTAAAAAGGTAATACAACAAAGTATGCTTAATTAACCATTTCATTTGGGTCAAATAAGAAAGCTAATCTCTTTTAAATGGCTGCATTAAATTTTTTGTTAGTGCAAAGCAAAGCACCACCATTGCCTGCCAACTCAGGTATTTCTTGCATGTAACCAAACAAGATTCTCTCTCTCTCTCTCTCTCTCTCTCTCTCACACACACACAGAATAGGAGAATAGGAGAAGAGCCTCTCTCTCTCTCACTCACTCACTGACAGAAAAGGAGAAGAGCCTTCATTTTTTCTATTATATTTGTAAAGCACTAGCGCGCTAAAACCGAAGTAGCAGCCTCTCCCTTTCTTTCTCTTGCTTTATATGGTTACTTGTAAGCTTCTCATCTTCTCATTTCTTGGTGAACTCTAGAATTGAGAGTTTTATGATTTTTCTTTTACATTTCTGTGACGACAAGGTCTTGATTGAGCAGAGAGTGAATTTGACATATCAGATCTAGTTAGTCTCTCTCTCTCTCTCCACAATTGATAGATCTATCAATTTTTAAGAAAGTTTTTTACTTCAAAAATTGTTGTTTTTGAAATTGAGAGTTTTAGGGTTTTCCTTATACATTTCAGTGATTGCAAGGTCTCGATTGAGCACAGAGTGAATTTGACTTCCGAGATCTAGTTAATATCTCTCTTCTTCTTCTTTTTTCTTTTTTCTTTTTTCTTTTTTATCAGAATTGCTTGATCTATCAATTTTTTAAAAAGTTTTTTTCCTTCAAAAATCCTTGCTTTTGAAGGTTTTCTCTCTTTGTGATCTCTTTCAATCTCTCTCTTTTTTGGGTGCACGCAGAAAGAAATGGAGCCGACTAATCCTCAAAGAGAGAGAGTGACTAAAGGGCCACCAGGTTGGATGGTGGAATCAAGGCCTCGTACTAATGAGAAATATATAGGGAAAGTTGACAGGGTTTGTTTCATTTACTTTGTTCTTCTATTGAATTTATGCCAGTTTAGGGTTACATACACTCTTTTCTTTTTTTCTTTTTTTTGAAATTACTAGATAAGAGATAATATCTAGAAAAAGATATGTGTTCATTTGTTTAACTTGTGAACCAGTTTAGGGTGATGCACACATTTGAAATTATTAGAAAAGAGTTATTACAAATATATATATATATATATGTTCATTGGCTTGGTCTTAGTTCTGTTTTATGTTTTCAGTTTTTATTTTTTTAGAAATTGAGATTGAAAATTTCTTTGGTATACTATTTTTGTTTTAAAAAAAAATGGAATTGATTTCCAAAATTTTTAAAAATAGAAAAAGTGTTATATTTTTAATTTTATTTGTTTTCAAATTTTTTGGATACACCAAACAAGTTTTTGTTTTTGTTTTTCACAATATGTATATATATTATTTCTTCTTGTTTTTATAAATAGATAACATTATCAAATGACATCTTGGTCATTGTGAAAAAAAATAAAAAAAACAAAAACTTTTTTGATGTACAAAAATGTGCTTTTGAAAACAAATTAAAAAAAAAAAAGAAAAAAAAAAGGATAGACATATTTGTCAAGTTGCTAGAGATGGCAGCTGACAGGTGGAGAGTAGATAGACAAATGTGGTGACTAGCTGGAGGTGGCTGTTGTAGTCGGTTGCCTGATTGTCATGGATAGTTGTTGAAAGGTGGCCGAAGGTCACTACGAATGCTCATTCATGCATAATTCTAGCATATTTCCTTCCTTGTATTATTCAAAATCTATGATATATTGCATGTTTGTCCAAAAACTTAATAGAAAGTTTTTTTGATTATGCAGTTCTATTATGAGCCAGGGACTGGCAAACGATACCGATCGTGTTCACAAGCATGGGCTCGTTACTATGAAACTCAACAACAAATTGGTGTGTTAGTGCCAAAAGAGGAGAATATGGTAAGTACTAGCAAGGAAAAAAAAAAGGGCAAGAACACAAAACTTAACTTCTTAATGTTAGATAAGTATTGAGTTATACATTAATCACATGTTGCAAAGTTAATCTTGTTGTTAGGGTTTTTAGTTATTCTTTTGATATATTTGGTTGCGCGCGCGCGCACACACACATAAATATATATACATGTAGTTCTATATGAGAATGAATGCATGCTAATACATATTTTTCTCTAAAACTCATTTCAAGTTGGTATTAGAACCCTAATGTCTGGCACACAAATTCTTAATCCATTCAAGTTTGGTTTAGGTTGTGCTTGGATTATGGATTTGTGTAGGAATTTGTTGAGAGAAAGGAAACTAGAAAGGAAATACAGCACAAAAATAGGCCAATTTTTTAGCACTATTTCCCTTCACAAATCTCTCTCCAAATCTTAAAAACAGACTATAGGTGTCTCTACCCATCATCAATGAGTTTTGAGTTAGGTTTCCATCAAAATCTTGACATGGTATTTGGTTCCTTTCATGTCTATATATCTCTTCCACACACTAGTGGTTTGCATATGCACGATGTATTGAGAATTGTCCGATATAATCTCTCTAAATTACACAAACCTAATTCATATAGTCTAGAATTGTGTATGGTTCACATAGTCCTGAGATGTCTACACTGGGACCATCACAACAAACAAATTAGTAATGCTATATATGAACAGAGTTCTTAGTAGATTTTCTTGTCGCTAGACACAAAGGTACAAGTCTCACATATATGTATATTCTTAAGGTTGTCACTAGCTTCTCTTATTTTCCTCAATAGCTACTGTTAATTCTAATTCACTTGTAGGCACATGATCCAAACATGATGGAATTTTCAAAGATGAAAAACAGAACTAAAAGATTCAATGTTAACGAAATCCTTGACTCAGTTACATGGGTTTTAACCGATATCGAATTTGACAAATGGACCCCTTATATTGATGATGAAATGGTCCTACAAAATGAGCAAAAATTATGGATTGAAACCTTTGAACTTGCAATGCTATGGAAACATTGGCCTGATGGTAAAGGTACTCTCTTTACTCTTCTTCTACCTATAATTTTCTTTTTTTATTGCTAATTGTTGTTCCTTCTAGTTTTAATTGTATCAATTATATAGGTATATATAATATATACACTTCTTATGATATCATTGTTTCAGTGAATGTTGAGGAGGAAGAAGAGAATGATGATGAACAAACCAATGATCTGGATGTTCAAAAAAACAATGCAGCATAAAAAGACAGGCAAGGCTATTCGAACTGTGGATATGGATAGTGGAAATTAAAATTTTATGTTTAATGAATATGTAATGTTAAACATAATCGTACTTTGTACTTGTGGACACAAGGCATTGAGGCCCATAGTCATTCGGGTCTAAAAATGAGTAAGAAATAAGATTATATATAGCATGTTTTAATGAATGTAACTAATCTCTCTTCTCCAAAGCACCGTGGAGTTTTATCCTATGAACTAGACTTATTCTAGGTTATTACTAGTGTTGTTGTCATATGGTCACTGTAACATATAAGAGTTTTAGAAACTAAATATATTTCTCCAAAAGTGAAAATTTTGTGGCAAAAGACATTTAGGGACCAACTTTTAGCCGCTAAAAGGTCATCACGAAAAGTAAAAAACAAGGCTTTTAGCGACAAAATTTTGAAAATGTCACTAATAAATAGACTTTTAGAGACAAAATAATTTGGTCTCAGAATAGTTTATTTTCTGAGACAAAAAATTTGGTCCTAAAAGAATAATAACTTATCACTAATATCCAATTTTCGTTGCTAAATGTATAATGACAACACTTTTCACAACAAAAATACTTAGTCCTTAAAAAATAATTTTGTCCTTAAATTTTAGTCTCTAAAACCTTAATTTTTTTTAGTGGATAGACAGTGAAACTTATGGTATTGTTTGTTTTTGTCACGCCCCACTTTTTATTACCCAAATAACATTACCATATCCATTAACATAAGTCCATTTCTATAAAGAACATATGGAACTATACATACATTACATCCATAAATAAATGAAAGTCTTATCAATCGTACATATATAGAATGCAACAAGGATTACATTTGAACAAAATGCCCATAGGCTTACATCTTTACATTAAAAGTAAGGGTTAAACCCTCTTACAACAATGGCGTTCCGCTAAGAAGTATAGGCCCCATGGCTAATGATTAAGAAAGATCACCGATTTTGAATCATCTCTCAACTTGCACCTGAAAAATGATTAGCAACGTAGGATGAACATAAAGTCCAATAGAGATCCCAACAAGATCCTAAATAATAATAACATACATATCTATGATTATGAATGCACCATGACGTACAATGTAAATAATATGATAGTTTAATATTCGAAACATACTTATACAAGTACATTTTCTCCAAAAACATCCATTTGAACACCACAAGGTGTAAAACTATTTGTTTTCTATCCATTATCCAGTTTAGTTCCAAAAGCATTCCTTTATATGCATGAATCTGGAATGGGCATGACCCATATGCATTCAATAAGAATTTTGCCGAAACTGCCCTACTCCTGGGCAAATATTGGCTGGCCGGCCAAATAAGTTGGCTAGCTGGCCAAGTAAAAAGATGGTCGGTCGGCCAACTAAGTGGCCAACCTGCAAAAAAAGTTGGCCATGGCTGACTATTTTGCTCAAAACATGATTTTTTGACAAAATTTTCATCATTTCCTTCTATTTTCTGAGAAAATGTTTCATTTTGAAGTTTAAAAGTAAGCCTTGGAACACTATGAAAATATTCGAAACAAAGTGCGGAAAGAAAATTTCGAAAAGGAGTTTTGAATGGGATTTGAACACTTGGCCAAAGCAGGCTTAGGTTTGGAAATGAAGCACCAATTCCGTCTTTCTTACTGGGAATCATGTGAGAAATACATTCTTATTTTCATTATCGAGTAATCAAAAGAAAGTGTCCAAGTCTTAGAGTCAGTCAAAATGGGGTGTCTACAGTTGCCCCTCTCTCACATAACTCGAAGTCATTTCTTGATGTGAGTGAATGTCAAAGGTCAAAGACGACACATTTGACAAGGCCGCAAGACTTGAGCAAACAAACAAGATGCAATGCACTTGGTTGAACCCGTGGGTTGCCTATGTATCCCTTTGCAGGGAATCAAAGCAACATAGTTTAGGGACAAAATGCAAATGAAATGCTTAAAATACAATTAATAGTTAGACTTACGCACTTCACAAGGCCAGATGTTTTTGAACTACAATGTAATGCAACAGGTAATACATGGTGAGGCAAGCCTCGTGTAAATGATATGAAGCATAACAAGGGATACAATCCAAACACACTCACATAAGAGAACGAAATGTAATCAATGAATAGTTTTAACCTACAACCCAAAATAATGGAGGTATTAATCGATGGATAGTCTCAACTAACAAGCCAAGAAAAGAGAGGTATCAACTGAAGGTGGTTTGGATTGCCAACCTGAGAAAGGGATAGTTTCGTCATCTAAAAAAAAGGGCTAGTACAAATCGAGTGGTTTGAACCTACAACCCAAAAGGTGGCCAGCATTAGCTGATGAAAAATGTTATAATCAAATGTTGATGTGAATGAATTGTAGCCAAGTGATGCAACAATGTAACCATGCAAATGATATGCTAATGCACTTGAAAGTTTTTTTTTTCTTTTTTTTTCTGTTTTAAAAGTGCATGATTTATGCAATGCAATGCAATAAATGGTGAGGTAAGCCTCATGCAAATGAAGCAAACAAAAGGGTACAATCCAAAAACACTTACATGAGAGGAGAGAAAAAAAGCGTTTTAACCAACAAGCAAGACCTAGACTGTATCTCAATACGAAATAGGGGGATGATTTTCAACAAAGTTAAAGAGAAAAGGGGTCTTAACCAACAAGCGAGACCTAAATCGTACCTCAATACGAAATAGGGGGATGGTTTTTAACCGTGTAAAGGATGAAAGGGGTCTTAACCAACAAGCGAGACCTAGACTGTACCTCAATATGAAATAGGGGGATGGTTTTCAATCGGGTAAATGATGAAATGTTGTAACCAAAAGTTGGAACAATAGTGGTGCGAATGGATTGTAACCATGGATGATTGATGTAATACATAGTGCAAGTGTGATAGTGAATGCAAAAACACGAAGGGGCAATGTCAGACAAACAATATGCAACGTGATGGATATGATGCAAAGAGGATATGAGGGATGCACAACAAATGAACATGGAATTTTTTTTGTTTTTAAAATTTTCTTTTCTTTTTTTTTAAAAAAAAAATTAAATTTTTTTTTTGATTTTTTGTTTTTTTAAATTTTTTTTTGAAAACTTCTCTTTTTTAAAAAAAAATTCCTTTTTGAATTTTTTTCGCTATTTTTTCCTTTTTTTGAAAATTTCTTTTTGAATTTTTATTTTGAAAATTTCTTTTTGATTTTTGTTTTGTTTTGAACATTTTCTATACGTATATGGATACAAAAATACAAAATATGTATTACATACATATACATATACACACACATACGAGCTATACACAGACAAAATATACACAAAATATATACAAAATATACACTTCTCCCCTTTTTTTTTTTGTCTATTTCTCTCTCTGCCTCGTTCGTCTTTGTCGAGCGTTTCGTCGAGCGCCGTGTCTGGTGCGCGATTTCAACAATCACGGCGCGCTTGACCGACAGCAACTGGACGGCCTTGTTTTCTCTTGGCCTTTTCTTCTCTTCCAACTTCTTCTTAAACCAAGGCCTACGTGAGGGATATAGCAGAAAGCTGCAGACTCCCCCTGTCATTGTTCTACCAATACTCTCTTTGAAGGCATTACTCTCATCTAATGTCGCCTCTTATCACCGTCCTCTCACTCTCTTCCCTGACCTTAACAATTCCCTAATCAAGAATGCTAAGGCCAGAACCTCTAAACCTCGACAGAGTGCCCTTGTCCCTGCCCCTATTCTCAACTTTCCTACAGTGTCAGTCGAGCAAATAATGGCAACACAATCTAATAGCAATGCCAACCACTTCACATGGAAGTCTTGTGTAGAGATAATGATCGTGGTCTCCAATTTGTCCCACTAGCTGCAGAATAGGACAAGTGAGGTACATCGATTAAATGCCCAACTCTCTTTATGTACAAGGATTCTTGAGTAAAGATTAGCGCACTGAAAAAGTAGAACAAAGAGCTGAAACAACAGGTGACTTGTGCGGCCCGATTCGGAGGTCTTTCGTACTTCGCATTTGACGGCCGACGAGGAGAAATTTCTTTCAAAAGCTCTGCCAATGCTGAGGCAGAGTCTTCAAAGGCTTCCCAAGAGTGAAGATGTGGTGAGGCAACCGTCGCTATAGTCGAGTGATGAAGCTGTCTACGAATGAAGTCGGATTGAAATCTTTACCGTCGAGCTGCTGCCGAAAATCGAGAAAATCCATTCATCTCTCTATTTTTTGCATTTTTTAATTTTTTCTTCTTCGTTTTTTTTTTTTCTTATTTTTTTTCCTTTTTTGTTTTTTTTTTTTGTTCTTTTTTGTTTTTCTTTTCTATTTTTGCTTAGGAAAGAGCACCAATGCTTCAGAATTTCCCTATTTTGTTTTGAAATTTTGTTTTGGTGCAATGCTGTAATCATGGGATTTCACCCTGAAGTTCAATAAAAGAAGTTTCGTTTTTGCACATCATGGCATGAAACAAAACTTAAGCATGAAAACATTTTGTTTCAAATTTGAATCTAAGAATGATTGAATTGCAATGAACTCTAAATTGGACATTGAATCCTCAACTAACCAGAAATCAAAAAATGACTCAATGAAAGAAAAACAAAGCAAAAGCAATCCAAACACACCTATTTACACTTACTAGAATGAAAGACACTCAAAACATGACTCAAAAGGACACACCATTGAGTCTATGCAACTTCTGCAGTTTTTCATTCTGAATTCAAAAAATGGCTAGCTGGCTAATTGATTGTTCGGCCGGCTAATTAGTTGTCCAACTAGCTGAAAAATTGATGGGCTGGCTAATTCATGAACCACCTGGCTAAACAAACTGATGAATTGATGAATTGGCTAAACAAATGGCCAGCTGGCTTAAGAAGTGGTCGGCTGGCTAAAACAATCAAGAAGCACACCTAGAGTCAACTCAAAACTTGGACGACCGACTGAATGGTTAGTCGGCTGGCTGAAACATGCAACAGGAGACTCGAGAGTGTGGGGAGAAGACATAATTCTTGACTCGATGATGCCCCTAGATCATTGCTTTGACCTTTTCTTTTTGTTTTATGTAAAAATATTTTGATCAACATGAGAGTTAAATTTGCATACTTGTTCCACTCTCTGTTTTGACATCATGTAAGTTAAGTTGTGATCATTGGATTTTTTTTTTTGGTTCCAAAGAATGGTTTGGTTTTGCAAAAAATA